GGCGCAGGGGTTCACGCCTGTAATCCCAGCACTTTGGGAGGCAGAGGCGGGCAGATCATGAGGTCAGGAGATCGAGACCATCCTGGCCAACATAGTGAAACCCCATCTCTACTAAAAATACAAAAATTAGCTGGGCATGGTGGTGCATGCCTGTAGTACCAGCTACTTGGGAGGCCGAGGCAGAAGAATCGATTGAACCCTGGAGGTGGAGGTTGCAGTGAGTCGAGATGGCCCCACTGCACTCCAGCCTGATGACAGAGTGAGACTTCATCTCAAAAAAAAAAAAAATTGTGTATACATTTTGACTCCCTAAACACCTAACTACTAATAGCCTACTGTTGACCAGAAGCCTTACTGATAACATGAACAGTAGATATATGTTTTGTATGTATTAATAAAATCATAAGGAACATGTATTTACTATTCTTTAAGTGGACGTGGACCATCATAAAGGTCTTCATCCTCTTCACATTGAGTAGACTGAGGAGGAGGAGGAGGAAGAGAAGTTGATCTTGCTATCTCAGGGGTGGCAGAGGTGGAAGAAAATCTGAGGACAGGCATGATGGCTGACACTTGTAATCCCAGGGTTTTGGGAGGCCAAGACAAGAGGATTGTTTGAGGCCAGGAGTTCAAGACCAGCCTGGGCAGCATGGAAAGACCCCATCTCTAGAAAAAAAAAACTTTAAAATTATCAAGGTGTGGTGGTGCGTGCCTGTAGTCCCAGCTACTCCAGAGGTTGAAGTGAGAAGATCTCCTTAGCCTAGGAGTTTGAGGCTGCAGTGAGCTAGGATTACACCACTGCACTCTAGCCTGGGGGGCAGAGTGAGACCCTATTTCTCAAAAAAAAAAAAAAGAAAAAGAAAAGAAAAGAAAAGAAAATCTTTGTGTAAATGGATCCACGCAGTTCAAACCTGTGTTGTTCAAAGGTCAACTGTATTAAATATCACTGAATTGTATAATTTAAATAGGTGAATTTTATGGTATATGAATTATATCTCAATAAAGTTATTCTGTTGCCTTGGTATCCATTTTTAACTGTAAGTTTCACTTTCTCATATCAGAAGCAACGTTTAGTCACCCTTAACAGTTTTCTATATTATAATACACCCAGATGGTTCAGCCAGTGGCCAGAGATAAAACTCAGAAGCATCTCTCCCACCTAGCAGGCTGGGCACCCCTACCACTTCATGTAAACAGACCATTCAAACATTTGCCCAAGGCCGGGTACAGTGGTTCATGCCTGTAATCCCAACACTTTGGGAGGCCAAGACAGGTGGATCACCTGAGGTCAGGAGTTCAAGACCAGCCTGGCCAACACAATGAAACCTGTCTCTACTAAAAATACAAAAAAAATTAGCCAGGTGTGGTGGCAAACACCTGTAATCCCAGCTACTCGGGAGGCTGAGGCAGGAGAATCACTTGAATCCAAGAGGTGGGGGTTGCAGTGAACCAAGATCACGTCATTACACTCCAGCCTGGGCAACAAGAGCAAAACTCCATCTCAAAAAAAAAAAAATTCACCCAAGAACTGAAAGTAACCACATCACAGTCACAGTGTGACCTCCTGGAACTAGTGCCTGCTTTCTTTTTTTTTTTTTAATTTGACAATCTCAGTCTGAAGGGGTTGGCAGAGTGGGAAGTTTTCGCCATGTTGGCCAGGCTGGACCTGCTTGCTTTAAACCAACCAATTAAAGCTCCTCAAGAGAAACCTGTCTGAATAACACACTGGACCCAATAAAGACTTTGGCCCACAGATCTCTTCTGTCTTTCTCTGCCTGTCCTCTCTGACCTGGGTACATATGTGCATGTGTGCGTGTGTGTGTGTAATGTGTTTGTGTGTGTGTGTGTGTGTGGCTGGGCAGGCCACGTACCCTCCAGGATCTGAAAGTACTAGAAAGTCTTAAGCTCTCACATTGTGGTTGTGTCATTGAAGCTGTGTCTGCAATCTGACCCCTGACAGCGAGCAGGTGGGTCCCCTGCTGGTCCTCTTTTGTCTGGGCCTCTCAGATGCTGGGGATAGTAGTTACCAGCTAGGCTGATAAAGTTACATTCAAGAGTTCTCCCTAAAATATAGTTAATATAATATTAATAAAATGCTAACAGAATTTTTTTAAATAAACAAGCTAGTTCTAAAATTTATGTGAATAGGAAAAAGAAGAAGCAAGAAGAGCAAGGAAAAGTCTGGGAAAGAATAGTGGGATGGAACTAGCCCTCTCAATATTAAGACATATCAATCTGACAAACAGAGATAGAAATTTCAGCGAAACAGAATAAAAAGTCCATAAATAGACCCAAATGTATGCCAAAAAATACTACATGGAACAGGTGACATTTCAAACCATGGGTGGGGTTGGGAGGAATGGATTATTCAATAAAAGTGTTAATAAAACTGAGTAGCTACGTGGAACAAATCAGGTTGGATTCATAGCTCACACCTTACACCAGGATGCTTTCCACACAAATCAAGGATTTAAATGATTAATAATAATCCCAACACTTTCAGAGGCCAAGGCAGGAAGATTGCTTGAGCCAGGAGTTTGAGATCAGCCTGGGCAACATAGCAAGACCCCCATCTCTACAAAACAATTAAAAAATTAGCCGGGCATGGCCGGGCGCAGTGGCTCACACCTGTAATCCCATCACTTTGGGAGGCCGAGGCGGGCAGATCACAATGTCAGGAGATCGAGACCATCCTGGTTAACACAGTGAAACCCCATCTCTACTAAAAATACAAAAAAAAAAAAAAAAATTAGCCGGGCATGGTGGCGGGCACCTGTAGCTCCAGCTACTCGGGAGGCTGAGGCAGGAGAATGGCGTGACCCCAGGAGGTGGAGCTTGCAGTGAGCCGAAATCATACCACTGCACTCCAGACTAGGCAAGAGAGCAAGATTCCGTCTCAAAAAAAAAAAAAAAATTAGCTAGGCATGGTGGCACATACCTGTGGTGCCGCTACTCAGGAGGCTAAGGTGGGAGGATTGCTGGAGCCTAAGAGGTTGAGGTTGTAGTGAGCTATGATCACACCACTACACACCAGCCTGAGTGACAGAGCAAAGTTCTGTCTCAAAAATAAAAAATAAAATGAAAATTTCTAGAAAAGGAAATACAGAGTCTCTTAATTGTAAGAAAAAAAATTTCAGCCTCACGCAGAAAAGAGTAAGTAAGCCAGTCATGGCAGCTCATACTTGTAATCCCAGCACTTTGGGAGGCTGAGGCCTGTGGATCACCTAAGGTCAGGTGTTCGAGACCAGCCTGGCCAACATGATAAAACCCTGTCTCTAAAAAAAATGCAAAAATTAGCCAAGAATGGTGGCACACGCCTATAATCCCAGCTACTCAGGAGGCTGAGGCAGGAGAATCACTTGAACCTGGGAAGCAGAGGTTGCAGTGAGCCAAGATCACACCACTGCACTCCAGCCTGGGCCACAGAGTAAGACTCTGTCAAGAGGAGAGGAGAGGAGAGATTAATCTGTACTGACAGAGAGCAGATCAGTGGTTATCTGAAGATGGGGATGAAAGAGGGGAGAATGGATTACAAAGAGGCACAAGGAAACTGATATAGTTTGGACGTTTGTTCCCTCCAAATCTCATGTTGAAATGTAATCCTCAATGTCAGAGGTGGGGCCTGGTGGGAGATGTTTGGCTCATGAGGTCCCATCCCTCATCAGTGGCTCAGTGCCATCCCCTTGGTGATGAGCGAGTTCTCGCTCTGGTAGTTCACGCAAGGTCTCTCTTGCTCCCTCTCTCGCCACGTGATACACTGCTCCCCTTCATCTTCCACCATGATTGTAAGCTCCCTGAGATCCTCACCAGAGGCCGAGCAGATGCTGGTGCCATGCTTCCTGCACAGCCTGCAGACCTATGAACCAAGTAAACTTTTTTTCTTTATAAATTAACCAGCCTTAGATATTTCTTTACAGCAATGCAAAAGCCTAACACATAAACAGGTTCATTATCTCGACTGTGGTAATGGTTTCCCAGGTATATACTGTCAAAACTAATCTAATTATATACTATAAGTATGTAAATCTTCTTATATATATTATATCTCAAAGAAACTGTAAATAAATAGAGTATTAGGTTACAAATCAGTGAATAAAATAGAAATCTATGCATCAATAATAATATGAACACATAAAAGACACATAAAACCAAATATTGCTGATGTAAATGGGCACAATCACTTTGGAAAACCATTTACTACTATCTACTAAATCCAATACATTGTTAAGAAGCCGGGGGAAGCAAGGTATACAAGACTGTGTACAATATACTACCATTTGTAAAAGAAAAGGGAATATGGATACATATATTATATGTACATGGATCTAAACACGTGGTGCGTGTGCTCCCTGCTCATTCACAGGTCATCTCTGGAAGGATTAACAAGAAATTGGCAATGCAGTATTTAGTGCCTCCAGAGAGGAAATCTGAGTGGTTGGGACACAGGAGTAGAGGAGAGAATTTCCCCTGTAATCTCTTTAGTATCTTTTTAATTTTGTACCGAGTAAATGTACTGCCTCTTCCAAAAAAAAAATTGTTTAATAATGTTTTGTAAAAAAGAATTCTTCTCGGCCCGGCCCAGTGGCTCACAACTGTAATCCCAGCACTTTGGGAGGTCGAGGTGGATGAATCACCTGAGCCCAGGAGTTCAAGACCAACCTGGGCAACAGGGTGAAACCCCGTCTCTAAAAAATACAGAAAAAAAAAAAAAAAAAACCAGCCGGGCTGGGTGGTGTGCACTTGTAGTCCCAGAAACTGGAAGGCTGACGTGGGAGGATCTCTTGAGCCTAGGGAGATTGAGGTTGCCGTGAGCCGAGACTGCTGCCACTGCACCCCAGCCTGGGCTTCAGAGACCCTGTCTCAAAAAAAGGAAAGAAGGAAAGAAGGGAGGGAGGGAGGGAGAGAGGAAGGGAAGGGTCTCTAAAAAGTGGTTACTCTCTGACCTCACTTCCCCCTGTTTCTCCAACTCACCCCATTCCCCACAGGACTAAACTTCTCACCCTTTCCAGGAGAGGGTATGCTGTCTCTGTCCCGTACACCTACTTTTTCTTCTGCCAAGAGCACCCTTCCTTTCCCATGGCCCCTCTGAAGTGCCGGACCTGAGGACGGAATGAAGCCAGGACGTGTCCCATGAGTCAATTCTGTCCCCAGCATTCCCTACTACCCACCCCCAACGCCCTGCCAGCGCCCCCCGCCCCTCCCGCCATGAGTCTGTCATCTGCAACTTATCCCCTCACCCCCTCCCACTCCCTCTGAGATGACTCAGCAATCCCTGCCCCCCTTCAGCTGGGCGCAGTGCCCCAGAACCCAGGAACATGGGTACCATCTGTCCCTCCGCCCGCATAAAAGTCATTGAAGAGCCTGTGGGGCTGTGGGACCTGCGCCCTCTGGAGGAATTCCATACACCCACTCAACCCTGGCAAATAGGAAATTGTCAAGTAGGAGACAAGGAGCAAAGTCCTATCACAGCGGGAGGGGGACGCCAGTGCCTGCAGAGGCTGAGCAGGGAAAAAGCCAGTGCCCCAGCGGACGCACAGCTCAGAGTTGGTCTGCCATGGACGTCCTGGTCCCACTCCTGCAGCTGTTGGTGCTGCTTCTTACCCTGCCCCTGCACCTCATGGCTCTGCTGGGCTGCTGGCAGCCCCTGTGCAAAAGCTACTTCCCCTACCTGATGGCCGTGCTGACTTCCAAGAGCAACCGCAAGATGGAGAGCAAGAAACGGGAGCTCTTCAGCCAGATAAAGGGGCTTACAGGAGCCTCCGGGAAGGTGGACCTGCTGGAGCTGGGCTGCGGAACCGGAGCCAACTTTCAGTTCTACCCACCGGGCTGCAGGGTTACCTGCCTAGACCCAAATCCCCACTTTGAGAAGTTCCTGACAAAGAGCATGGCTGAGAACAGGCACCTCCAGTACGAGCGGTTTGTGGTGGCTCCTGGAGAGGACATGAGACAGCTGGCTGATGGCTCCATGGATGTGGTGGTCTGCACCCTGGTGCTGTGCTCCGTGCAGAGCCCGAGGAAGGTCCTGCAGGAGGTCCAGAGAGTACTGAGGCCGGTAAGCAGAGTGGGAAGGAGATGGGTGTAAGGTAAGCAAACGCAGCATCAGCCGCCCCAGGGTTCGGCTCCCAGAATGGGGCGTGTGAGGTAGTAAGTAGCACATTAGACACCCCATCCATCCCTACCTGCTGGTGAATAGGAGACATGACCAGTGCCACGACAGGGAAAAATTGGGTGCTGTGGAAGCAACAGGAGAATCACCTACCACCGTGGGACAGGGAGGGGAGCAGGGAGGACACCTAAGGGACTGAAGTTTAAATCGAGATCTGTGCTTGGGAGACCGAAGCAGGAGGATGACTTGAGCCCAGGAGTTCAAGACCAGCCAAAGCAACATAGTGAGACACCATCTCTACAAAAAAAATAATAATAATAATACAAAAGCTAGCCAGGCATGGTGGCGCATGCCTGTAGTCCCAGCTACTCAGGAGGCTGAGGTGGGAGGATCACTGGAGCCCAAAAGTTCAAAGTTATAGAGAACTATGATCACACCACTGCACTCCAGCCTGGGCCACAGAGTGAGGCCCTGTCTCCAAAAAAAAAAAGAGATCTGAGGGATTAAGCAGAGTGACAGGGTGGGGAAAATAAAAGAGTGTTCTAGATAAAGATAGTAGGGGAAGTAGAGTAGAATCCATCAGATTGTCAAGAGAACGTTCAGGATAGTTTCCAGGTTTCTAGCGTGAGCAACTGAGGGGAGAGCCAATGAAAGTGCCATTTACTGAGATGGAAGAAAGCTGTTTTTGGACTTACTAGGTTTGAGATCACCTAGGGAGAGTATAGTGAGGCGAGGAGCTTGAGGAACCCCAGCTTCAGTCAAGAGTTGGGTCTGAGGTTTCCCTGGGATGTTCACAGCGATGTCCAGGAAGCAGTTTGTGTATGCATCTGGGTCTCATGAGAGAGGCTGGTGTGTGTATCTCAGAATACAATGAGCCCAGCTGGGCGAGGTGGCTCACGCCTGTAATCCAGCACATTGGGAGGTGAGGCAAGCAGATCTCTTGAGGCCAGGAGTTCGAGACCAGCCTAGCCAACATAGTGAAACCCTGTCTCTACTGAAAAATACAAAAATTAGCCAGGCATAGTGTCTCATGCCTGTAATCCCAGCTCCTTGGGAGGCTGAGGCAGGATTATCACTTGAACCCGGGAGGTGGAGGTCACAGTGAGCCAAGATCATGCCATTGCACTCCAGCCTGGGCAACAGACTGAGACTCCATCTCAAAAAAAAAAGAATACAATGAGCCCTCCACTCCTGTTTCTCCAATTCCCCTTCTGCCTGCCCTCAGCTATTCTGGTCAGCCTTTAAAGATCTCCCACCAGCCATGTCCCTGCAGTTATGAGGTTCTTTACATGCACTTTGAAGGTGGTAGCAGGGGATGCAGAAAAGGTCAGGGGCACAACAGTTTGCTCCATGAACTCTCAGACCAGCAGCTCCCATTTCACCAAGAAGTTTGACTGTCTTGATCAGCGCGATAGGGAGCAGGGTCAGAATGGAGCCAAGTGACACTAACTCTCTCCTCCCTCCCAGGGAGGTGTGCTTTTTTTCTGGGAGCATGTGACGGAACCACATGGAAGCTGGGCCTTCATGTGGCAGCAAGTTTTAGAGCCCACCTGGAAACACATTGGGGACGGCTGCTGCCTCACCAGAGAGACCTGGAAGGATCTTGAGAATGCCCAGTTCTCCGAAGTCCAAATGGAACGACAGCCCCCTCTCTTCAAATGGCTACCTGTTGGGCCCCACATCATGGGAAAGGCTGTCAAATAACCTTTCCCAAGCCCCAAGGCACTCATTTGCTCCTTCCCCAGCCTCCAATTAGAACAAGTCACCCACCAGCCTATGTATCTTCCACTGAGAGGGACCTAGCAGAATGAGAAAAGCCATTCCTGTCCCATCTCCTAGTCCCTCTCTCCCCAACCTCTGCCAGGGCAATCTCTAACTTCAATCCCTCCTTCGACAGTGATAAAGTCTACTTCTACCCTGACCACAGGGAGTAAACATTTGTACCCTGTTGTATCCTTAACTGCAAGTTTCTGGACTAGTCTCCCAATGTTTGCCTCCCAACGTTGTCCCTTTCCTTTGTTCCCATGGTAAAGCTCCCCTCGCTGTCCTCCTGAGGCTACACCCATGTGTCTCTAGGAACTGGTCACGAAAGTCATGGTGCTTGCATCCCTGCCAAGCCCCCTGACTCTCTCTTCCCCCCTACCACCTTCATCCTGAGCTGGGGGCGCCAGGGAGAATCAGAGACGCTGGGGATGAGGGAGCAAGACTCTAAGAGGCAGAGGTTTTGTTCTCAAATATTTTTTAATAAATAGACAAAACCACAAAACCACTAGACTGATGCAGCAAATTAAGGTCAGATGAGAGGGGAAACTAGAGAAGAGGAGCCCCTGAGTCAGTGACAAAACCTCCTCCCCGACCTGACCCTCTAGGCTAAGGCACTTCTGGGGAGGCAAGTCCTTGGGGTCCTATTCCACAGGGTGAATGGGAGAGGAAGGGATTAGGATCCCTTCTCCCCACCTTTGCATGAGGACACCCCTGCCCTTCTCACCCTACCCCATGGCCCTCTCCCTGATTTACCCTCTCTCATCTCACAGCACTCTAAGGGGAAGTTGGGTGGGAGGAGTTCTCGTGGGTGGGGGAGGTCTGTGCCCCTGAGGAAGCTGATCCTGCCAAATCTTGATGCGACACCAGCAGCCCACTCTACCCTCTTCATCCCAAAGAGCCATCTCTGGGGAAGGGGTGGAGGGTAGCCACAGGCCAGGCTGGGACATGGGAACCTAGGCAGTGCCTGGCCCCGCATGCCCATCGGGGCCCAGCTCGGGATGCCCATCGGCAGCCAGGATGGGGTGTGCATCCGGGCCCTCCCGCCGGGGGCTGCCCCAGTTGTTCCTCAGGATGGTGCCCGTCTTCTCCTCCTTGAACTGCTGTCGGTCTTCCCGAGGAATCTTCACCGCATGGTACTGGGGCACGGTGGCCTCGGGGTGCTTCGCCCGTTTGAAGAATCCCATCTGTAAGGACACCAGGCCGGACCATGAGGAGCCTGAAGAGCTGTGGTCCCTGGAGCAGACGCCTAGCACGGCACAGCTCCTCACCCTCACCATCCCTGCTGCGGCAGAAAGGAAACAGGCTGAACAGCATCTGGTGCGGTGGGCAACACCCATGGTGCTCCCATCAGTGCCGGGTCCCCAGGTTCTCATTCATAGCAAGAGAGAGACCAGGAAGGCATCCAAGAGGCAGGACCAAGGGCATCTCCCTTGGCCCCTGAAAGAGGGCCTTGAGGGTGGAGCATCAGGACCTGACTCAAGATTTCTACCCACTCTAGCTTCTTAAGAGACCCAATAGTGTCCCCCAGAACACAAACAAGACCTGAGGAAGAAAATGGCTTCCTAGTCCCCTGCATCTCTGGAATGATGCCTCTCAAGCCCTATAAACATGCACCCTGTGTACTTGTACCTTGGGCAGCATGCCCCTTACAGCAACGCCCTCTTGTCCATCAATACAGTAGTTTAGCCCCACCCTAAATCAGGACCATGCTGGCCCTTACACACCAGGGTGGGAATGTGCCCCTGCGCACTCACACTCAGAGGCCCAAGACTCCTACATGCTCAGACTGCATGGCATCTCCTTACACATTCATCTCCTTGCACACTCATGCCCCTAGAAAAAAGCATGCATGCGACCTCCCCACACCCACACGCACACCCCATGAGCCCACCAACCCTTTGTGCACGCCTCAGGCTGTGTAGACTTACCCTTATATCTGCACCCTTCGAATTACCTCTCACCTCACATCACTCTCGTGCAATCTCATTTTTCACCCTGAACATTCCTGATCCCCTGAGTGCTGGGAATTCTCCTTATATTCACACACATACATACCCACACACACATATACACATGCACACACACAACAGTTACCCCACAGTCCCTGGACCCCCAACTTCCATGGCTGAAGGCTGCACAGCCAGACAGGCCCGGTGATAGTTGGTGGGAAAAGGTGAGCTCTGACTGCTCCGATGGAAGAAGCCACACTGGGATGTCGAGGGAGAAGCAGGGCAGAGGAGGCAGAGGAGGGAAAGATTGAGGAAGGACAGGAGCCCCTATCTC